GTTGGTGGGATCGATCCTTAGGATAAATCGCCTCCCGAACAGGTATGCCTGGAAGGTCTTAAGACAATGCAGGATTGCTAAGACCTCCTTCTTGAGCTGCGAATACCGTCGTTCTGCTGAATTCAGGGTCCTACTTTCAAATCTGATTGGTCTTTCTTTGCCCTCCTCGCTTCTCTGTATCAATACTCCTCCCACTGCCAATGGTCCCCCATCTGTTTCTAAGATGAAGGGTCGTCCTACCTCGTCATTGAAACAAGGTGCTGCTAATGTGACCTGATCGGACGACAGGATGTCTTTCAGGGTCTGGGCTGCCTCTTCCCTATCCTCTGTCCAACCCATAGTGCCACCTTCCCTAATCATCGCGCGAATGGGTTCTGCTATCTTTGCGAAACATTTGATGAAGATCCTCCAGAACCCAACCACCCCTCGGAAGGCTCGTACTTCCGTCGTGGTACGTAGGGGTGTCGGCCACTGAGAGATCTTATCAGTCTTTGCTGGATCGGGTCTCCTCCCATAAGCTCCACAGCGGAATCCCAGTATGGTTACTTCTGAGACGGCCACGATGCTCTTGGGTCCGCGTGCAGTAATGTTGTAGACTAGGAATCGCTGGAGTAAGTCCTTAATATCTTGCAAGTGGTCCCAGACGAACTTCCGCACTCCCGGTTGTACTTCCGTCTCATCTTTGTATCTTGCGCCTTTTACGGGATTATCATCTATGTAAGGTTCACACTTTTCCGGAAACATATCCCCTGCGACGGCGAGCATCCTCCTCTGAGCTTCTGCTACCGCATTTGTGAAGCCCATAAAGGTCACTTGCATCTGCAACTGTCCTACCGGGGTGTGCATTGCGGTATACGGTCCATCCCTCACGTCGAGCGGCAACTGATCATATCCCGAGTACAAGTCTACCAGGGAGTAAATGCTCCGCCCTGCATGAGATTCTGCCAATAAGTCGGCCTGTGGAAGTGAGCCTGCGCCCCTAATTGTTACCGCATTGAGCTTCTGCAGGTCGAGGATCCACCTGAGTGTCTTATTGGGCTTTCAGAACACGGACCACTTGTTCGCGTAGGGAGATGCGGTGGGTTCAGCCACGAAAGAATCTATTTTGACTCTAAGCAGGTCGGTGACCTCCGCTGCTGTACGGTGTGGATCCTGATAGGGGGAACTAGCTTTGCGTCCAATCGTCCTTTCTGATGATCGTTGAAGGCGAAAGCTAAATGAAACTCCTGACATGCTTTTCTTGTCAACTAAGTTTCTTCCGCTGTTAGAAACCCTTCCACTCCTATTTTCATGGTGTCTGCTACCTCATCGGGTATGCGATGCCCTTCCGTTGCTCACCTCTCCCTTATTACCCGCAAGATTTCCTCCTCCTTCTGCATGGCCTCTTCCTTCGACGTTTCTACTAGGATCGAGACCGGCTTGGCCTTCTTGCCTACGGGTTTATACTTTCGCACACTACCTTCGGGGATCGTTCTCCTAAAAAATGAACAGTCGGGATCGGCCTTGCTACCTACAAGACGCGGGGCTGGATGCTGACTAGCTTCCCATTCAGACAGTAGCCCTTTCGAACTTATCCTCAAATCTGGCAAGCGCTGCGAGGTCCACCCCCACTTTGTGGTACCTGATGGCCTTAACGAGTTGTAATAAATTTGGGATTTCAAGCACTACCTCCGACGTTTCGTTCGGGGCTTCCTTTGGTTTGGGCAGGCTGACCCCAAGTTCGACTTCCGACTCTTTTTCTGCCACCATAACTTTCAGGGACTCGTCCTCTGGCCTCCTCTTCTTTACAGGCAAGCCTATCTTGATCCACTCCTTTTTACTAAAAGCCTCCTCAATCATAATTTCTACCCGTGCGAATGCCCCCTTCCGTGCACTTTCTTCGAATGTTGGCGACCAGGTTGCCAATTTGCCCTTCGGAGGGTCCCCTCCAGTTCCGAGGAGTCGGAGGAGTTCTCCGCGACTAGTCACCGGATCCTCTATATCTACCATGTACGTGTCGTCATGCATGTGCATGCCAATCATTTCTACATTGGTGCACCATGGCCTCTCAAGGATTATGTTATGGTCCATTTCTTCCATGACGGTCATCCGTTGGAAAGACCAGATGGATTCCCGGACTCCTGCCCAGACCGCGCATTTGGTGACGTACCCAGTGAAGGGGATTTCTCCACCAGCTCCCCTAATACTCCCTGCTACCTCCTTGTTTATTGTGCACCCGATGATTGTTGCGAAATCCCGTCGTATGAAGGTAATTTCCGCGCCGCCATCCACTAATGCATCGGTGTGGTGAGTTTCGATCTGGATTTTAAACTTTCCTACGGGCAGTGCGTGAAAGCTAAGTTTAGTGCCAGGCGGCGCTCTCATGACTTCACCACCTTCTCGGTTCGGTAGGTTCAGACGAATGTCAGCAAAAGCTTCACTCCCTGGGATGCTTTGGAGGTTGGAGACTCCTTGCGGCGCCTCGGCCTCTTCCGTGTCCTGCTATTGCAGTTTCGGGGCCTCCTCTACCTCTACGCGCTTACGCGTTAGCAACTGCCTAAGTCCTTTAAGCAGCCTTGGGCTGACTTGCAGCATAGTTTGAAAAGACACCGATACCATGGTACCCAGTAGCTTACTCAAGGTGCCTTTCCGGTTCCTCCTCCCTTGGCTTCCCATATAGACCCTCTCTTGATCCCCGGCTTCAGCCTCTTGCTGGCCCGTGCTAGTCCCTGCGAGTTCTTCCATTACTGTATCTTGCACAAGCTTCTTTTCTGCGCCGGCCCGGCGAGTGGTGATATTTACCCTGTCGTGGCAATTGCCTTCCAGGATAAAATTGGCCTGTGGTCCCCGTCCCCTTGGCTGGTCCCAGACAATCTCGGCTATCGGTTTTGCTTCTACGACAACTATTTCCAGGTTATTCAGGAGAATGACGGCTCGCCGCATCCCCCCTAGCGAGTTCCAATTGACACGCTCCCCCCTAGGTCCGAGTATCTCGCCTTTGAGGGACCTAATGCACCTCTGTCGCTCGATATCGTGATTGAGTCTCGGACAGGCCCGTATGAAATGCCCGATCATGGCGCAATACTTGCATTGTTCGTTGGCCGGGTCCCTCCTGCCAAACCCCCGGTTTGCTACAGCTGCCGGAACCACGGCCTCTTGGGGCGGGAGGGCGGGTCTGGACACTTGCGCCTGCATTACTAATAGCGCATTTTCCATTCTGTCCATCTTGCTATCAACCCCGTGCACCCGTTCGTGCAGGATCTCTATCCCTGTCTTGACCTTATCCCCCGTCTTCCCGATCAGATCTATGACCTCTCCTTCCTTAAGTAGGGTAGCGTCTCTGTAACCACTGTCTTTTCCGCAAGGTCTGTTACGGTGCTGAAGTCCACGTCTCTCGTGTATTCGAACTTACTAGTCTGCTGGTATGCTGAAAAAATCTTATCTTTATCGAACTCGGAAAACTGCTTGAGGAAGTATTTACTCATTATACGATCCGTTACCCCGGGAATTCGCAAAGCCACTAACGTGAATGCCCTTAGGAAATCATTGTAAGTCGCATAGTTTTTCCTCTGGACTGCGGCTAATTCGGCCTCTGTTGCCATTTTCTCTGCCTTCAGGTATTTCCTCATCATCTCATTCCTGATTTCTTTCGAGGATCCACTTGAGGCGACGATGGCCATAATGTCCCTGCCCAAGCTTAGTGACACGTGCTGCCCCAGGTGATCCATCTTTTCCTCTTCCGTACATTTTAGTAGGGCTACTAGGTTCTCATAGTCTATTAGAAACTCCGTAATGTTGGCCCCATCGAATGTGAGTTTCTTCTTTGCATCTGCGAGATACCCCTGGTTCTTGTTTAGTGTCCTGTTGAGGGTGGCAACTACCCTCTTGAGACCATCTTCGGAGGCACCCGCTTCCCTGGCTGCACTGGTCCCTTTCCCTTCCTTGCTTTCCCTCTGCTTCTCTCTGGTTTTGGGCATTCCTTCTGGGTCAAACCATCCTAGCACTCTTTCCCTAAGGCTCCAGAGTCCGTCACACGCCCCTGTTACTTTCGGCGTGGCGGACAGTCTGCTAGTGCCGCTTTCGATGGCGGGCGGTGTCATAGCGTTTTCTGTCCCTTCTGCCGGGGGGTCGTCCTTGTCCTTCCCCTTCTTGTTAGGCGTCCCCCTGTGGCTATTATCCTTTCCTTCGTATCTGGCCTCGTCCTGAGTGGTCCTTTGCCCCTCTCGTGACCCTACGCCCTGGGGGTCCTCCTCGTCCCCGGCCATCATCTGCTCGATGAGCCTTGCCTTAAATTTTGCAGTCTGCTTTTCTATCTCTGCCAGTTTGCGACGGGTATCTAAGACTTTCGTCTTTTTAGGGGTGGTTCCTGCTGAATTCCGAGGGCTTGTTTTCACGTCGTTTCCCCCTTCCCTGTTTTCCTGAGGTCCCCTTTTGCTACCCCCAGCTTTTCCGGAACTTTCTCCTGTTGAAATGTCTTTTCCATCTTCTCGGGTTCCTTCCGGTTTGGCCGACTCTCGATCCTTCACTGATCCCTCGTTTCGTTCCTCACCCCCATTCGTACCCTGGCTCCCCCTGCTCTGCTGATCATCGAATTCTTCTTCTGTCGCCATTCCCTTTACCTAGCCTGCACATGGAGAATTTTTTTTTTGCAAAAAATGGCCGGATGTTCATAACAGTCCTAGTCCCGGCTCTAAAAACCCGCCTATTCCCATGTTTTTTGCGTCTTATATTAATTGGTCCGACTCTCCTAACTTTTCTTTCCCAGGGCGTCCTTCAGGTTTTTCTCCCGTCGGGCCTTGCCGCCGCCGCTCGGCATTTCTTTACTGCCGCGCTTAGGTTTTTAGGGCGGTGCCTGAGCCCAGTGGCTTCCCTATCGGGTATGGCCCTTTTGGCTTATTGGCATCCAGGTGCCTCATAACTTTTGGAGCGGGTGGTCTTCCTAGTTCCTTCCTGCCGCATCATTGGGTCGGCCGGGACTCCAACCACTGCCCCTCTTTTGCTGACAGCCGCCTACTTATCTTAGTACCCATCCTTTGTTTCCCTACCTCTTCCTGACGCGTTTTCTCATGCTGGTCCCTCAGGCCTGCCCTGCTCATCCGGTTCCTCGAACAGGTCAGCCAACCCAGCAAGGTAATTTTCCCCCATCTCTATTTCCCTCATAATTATTGGCTCATATTCTTCAAACGACAGGTGGGGCAATCCGAATATCAAGATCTCGAGTAATTCGAGTAGTTCCCAGGCCTGTTTTCCCCAGAACGGCCCATGTCTGACCGACACGTCGTAGAACATGCCCGTTGTTTGCAACCGGAAGAGGTGGATCCAGACCAGGGTCGAGTCCACCAAATCCCTTGCCCTCTTGAGACTGCCGAATACCAGGTCTACCATGAAGCGAGGTACTTGACACCTCAGCCCGGTCATTGGGGCCTTAAACTCTCGTCAACCTCCTATCTCCACCCGAGTCCTTAACCCCTAATTCCTTCTTCCTTGCACTTCCTGGCCTACCCGGTTTAGTACTCTAGTAGCCCTCTAGAAGATTGGCAACAACCCATGCCCTAGTGCCAACTCCGTCCCTAGCATGTGCCACCCGAGTTCTGGCAGGTATACGGTCCCCGTCACCCTAAGATCGGTGTACAGATCGTTCACTGGTCCCCTATTAATTCTCATACCATCCCACAAGCATTCCACCATCATGAACGCCTGACCTCTTCCCAGGGTCACGGCTCTCCACTCGGTATCCAATCCTTGAATCATGTAGCTTGCTAGGAGCGACACCTCCCATCCATCTCCGTTTTCCGTGGTTGGCCGCGGGTGCATGGGTCGTCGCGGCATCCGGGCGCATCTCATCGCCATTTCCGACTCAGAAGTCCCCTGCACAGTTTTAAACAGCACGTGAGTTTACTTATTCCACTTGGTCTTCAATTTTCCACCCGAACAACTCCCCGATCCCTAGCCTGGTGCTTCTTTTCCCCTTCTATTTCTTTCCCCTCTCTTCGTCCCTATTACCGACCTGTTCCCTCCTCCATCTGCTCATACAATCGGTACAGATCATCTACGTACGCCATCCCTTGGTTTATTTCCTGCCGGACGACACCCCACAGGAGCTCACTTCCCACGACCGGAACCCTTGGCCTGGTACTAAACACAGCATGCAGGATGCGCAGCACCTCATACTTCTGCTCTCCGCTAAACGGTCCCATTTCTAAGAAGGCCTGGTAGTATTCTCGATGTGCCGCCGCTTCTTCATATGTCAGGCTTGCGAGGTCGGCTACTGCTTGTCCAACAAGTTCCAGACCGCCCAGTTTTTCCAGCAAGAAGGGCAGCAGCCTCATTCGTACATTTTCACTAGGCAATTCGAAACTCCCGACCATGGCTACCCTAAGGTCTGCCGTTACATCGTCAACCCCCGGATCTGCAAACTCAAATCTCGTTCGCCATACTAACTGCCATGCCCCCTCAAACATGCTCAACGGGTCTTCTCCAGATGCCAGCCGAACTCCGAACTCCCTCCACCCGTTTTCTGACACATACAACCGCCCCTCTGCCCGCACGTGCCCCCGTGGGTCCGGGTTCCATTCCCCATTCTCAGCCGCACGCCACTCAACTTTCGTCACCAAATAAACCATATTTTCCGCAAGCTCGATCCCGACCCAATCCGCCACCTGGTGCCATCCCTCGCCTGTTGCCGGCAGGCTAACCTCTATCCCACCCGGTACTTCCCTAGGCGGTTCAATGCCCAAGGGGCGCTCCTCAAGGAATGTCCTTCTTCGTGCCATCGCGCGCTCGCCTTTGATCTCCCGGCTCGCGGTCCGCGCTGAACCCTACAATGACCAGACATCCCATTCCCTAATCTTAGCAATCTTGCCGTGTTTGTCTGGCTCCACAACTTCCCTGCGCTTAGTCGGACCACAGTACTTCGAACAGTTTGAACACATCATCCACATAGCAAGGTGTTGCTGCTACCTCACGGCGGATTATGGCCTCCCTGGTTTTCGGGGCCACCTCCTGCCGGTCATTCCTTTCGATGTCCAAAATGATGAGGAACTCCCGGGCTCTATCGTCGTGGAAGGGCCCGTATTTCAAGGATGTCCTATAAAATTCCCCTGCCAGCCATGTGCAATTCACGTGTATTCGCTCCATCGTGTCGGCTACCTCTGTTACGTGATCAAAACCCCCAAACCAGTCCGCCACAAACTCGGGTACCCAGGTCTTGATTCGGGCACCGGGCGGCTTAAATTCCTTCCATCCTCCCATCACGACTCTACTGCTGACCATATCCCATCCTTTGTTAGCAAAGCTTTCCCCCGCCTGCCGAGCCCTTGCCTCAGCGTCCCCTAAAAGCCACATCGGGTTTTATCCCGCCGCGAGCGTCGTGCAGAACAGGTGCCAACCCTGTTCCGAGAGAACGATCGTCCCAACTGATTCCACCCTTCCTTCCGCAATCTCGTCCCATCCTTCCTTTTCCCTCAACGGATTCCAGATACGCTCTACCCAGAGGTACGATAGTTCCGGCACAATCTCATACCCCCGCCAATCACATGTGGTCCCTTTCCATTCATTGCTCGGCGGTATTGACATCTCTACTCCCCTTCTGGTTCGTTTTGGTTCCCATGTGCAGTCCCATAATTCGAGTTCCCGGACCATCGTTCCCTACCTGCACATAGCCGACAACCCGTTTTCCCCAGGTAATCCCCCCCCTTCAGAAGTCCCAGTCCTCTATCTCGTCTCCGTCCTCCTCATCACTGAAATCCTCCTCGTTTAGGAACATCTCTTTCACCCCTTCCAAGAAGGTTTCCCCCGCTGCCACGTTTCGGTAAACTATCTGCCAATGCACCGGGCTGGGTACAAAGGTTTCATCCGCGTTGAGGACGTTTAACACCTCAGCTAATTCTTCCGCCCGATTTCCTTCGAACGGCCCTGCCTCCACCGATAGTGTAAAGAAGTCCTGCCTAGCACCTTGGTACAACCTCAGGCGCGTCATCGACCGACATATCCGCTCCAATCTACCCCTGGTTCCATAGACTGCATCCACCAGGAATGGGGGTAGCACGCATCTCATTGTCCTAAGGGGGCATCTCATATTTTTCTGGTCCCCGAGTTCCACTCGCACCTCCATCCTTTCCATCTCCATTTCTGCCCGCTGACATGCTGCCCATACCACTTCCCGTTCCGCTTGCCTAAACAGCTGATCCGGTGCCGTGCCCAATACTAGTCCCACTACCATTGCGTTTTCCATTTCTTGAGATAGGTAGATCCATCCTCGAGCTTCCACTGTTCCCTGGAATTCTAGGTCCATCAAGCTAGGTGAGAGTCTTGTCAGGCTGACCTTAGTCCAGATTGTCTCTATCCAGAGGAACACCACGGAACACCTTCTTGTCAAACATCACGGTTTCATAGGCTGGTTCTAGGTCGGTCCATTTCCCTTCTTCCGGGAGAACAACAGATACCCCATCCCTTACTTCTATAGGCATTTCTGGACCACTAGAGTAGACAAGAGGCGACAACCATCGCGCCATCTTGTTTCCCGACGCCTGTCCTGTTTTTCACATGAGATCACCACACGGCCCTTCATGGTCAAATGGTTTGCTTTTCCTTTTTCTAGATGAGGGTTGTTTTCAGACCCCTCATCCGGGTCTCCCTAACCTCCCTTATCCATTTCCTAGGTACCATTGCCCTACCATACCCCAATCGATCACCCGTGGCTCGCATTCCTTCTTTTATTAGTTCCACTTTCTTTCGACTCCTGTCCAGCCTCTTCCTCATGTTCTCTTACTCGTGCATAAACTAGAAGCTTAGTTCCCCTTCCAACATTCATCAGGCAACTTTACAGAGGGAGGCACAGAAAGCAAAACTCAGGTAAACGTCGCACACAGGTCGGTCATCTCCTTACCGACCTCTTCCCCGGAAATGGTCTCTCCACTGTTACTATCGGCAGGGCTTTACCCCATACCTCAAGCACAGCTCAACCGTCGCGAGCGCGGTACCCAGGTCTCGGCAAGGCATTCGCCCTTTCCTCCTTACCCA